AACACACACCGAAATAGCTTTGAATAATGCAATTTAAAGTCATCGTCGTAAAAATAAGTAAATCGAAATTTGTAGATTTTTTTAACAACTGCATTAGAATGGTTGATATTTTGTGGTATGGACGAATGCTTCTTTAGTATTGAGACCATAATTGAAACTGGAGAAAAAAGTTCAGGAATAAGATATAAATAAATTACATTTAATATTTCTAAGAATTATGTCACCCAGTGAATTTAAGTCAATACTCATGTTTCTATTCAAACAAATGTTTCATATTCCACAAAAATAAAACAAAGCAAAATAAAGTCAACAATTTACACCGCACTTACCGGACCATTGAGCGCAATTTATGGTCCATAAATGAACCTAACTGGTCTGTAAGCTGGCAGTAATGGGCCTGTGGGAAGTATAGGAAGTAGAGATAAGGAGTGGCAAGTGATGTCGCTTTGCTAGGCGCCAATGTCGTGGAAGTAGGAAAGTAGAACACTCCTATAGTGGTCAGGGCCCGTGTACTCGTGATGAGAATCTACACTGCGTCTATAACACAGCTTCCATGGCTGTGGTTGAACACAACAGTGACTGGGATTGATTTAAGTGCGGCAGTTAAACTCCGAATCAACGAAAACTGTTTATAGCTTAAGACAACTGTTTATGCTTACTGGGTTCTAGAGTGCCAAACATCCACTGTAGAAAAAAAGTTATTGATAAATGAAATATTAATAAGGAGTACCACAGAATTCGCGCACGATGTTGTAATACGTTCTCTTACGAAAAAGATGTAGGTCTATGACTAAGCATTTTTCCTCAACATGTAATATTTTTTCTTATACAAAATGTATATTAATTTATATTTCAACCGCAGACATTCAGTAGCTGAGAGCCTTCAACTTCAACTCTAAGACATGAGAAATATTTTTCCTACGAAATTTCTAAGGTCTAAAGTGATCTAAAGTAAATCTAAATCAGGTCCGTAGTAAATGTTCAATATATTGTTCTGCTATGGTTGACCGCTATTCGAAATACATATCAATAACTTATTTATGATTCTCTAAACTGAAGCGCTGCATATTGCAATTAGTTGGAAGTTGATAAAAACTTTTCAAATCGGATCTTACACAAATAAAACTTTTCTTGTCCGCTCTTTTAATTGGTGATACATTTCTTGATGTACACAAACTGACAGCTATTATGTATGCAAAGAGCCCTCTGTTTAACTGCTGTAGACACTTTTTGAATTGATTACAAGCATCCAAGACAACCTATGAAGTTTTAGAAGCCATATACAAACTTAGCAGACAACTCTGTTGTAAGAAGACAACAAGGCTACATAGCTTTGTGTGTCAGTGTCAAATACAGAGAAAACTCGGAGAGCCGTGTCATGTTTTCGCTTTATAGTAATGGTCCACTTAAACCACCAGAATCAGCAAATATGTTTGTCCTAAGAGGAGTAATTTCTAATTTAATTTCCTAAAAAAGCCTAAAATGGTGCAGTGCGATAGTGTCACGAGCTATTTAAAAATTATATTCTTTATATTCTCGCATTTCGTTCGAGTGTTTTTTTTTCTGCAGCGTTTTTAATCGTTGTACTACCAACCTAAGCTTTGCAGTACCTTTATAAAATTACAAAAACCTGGCCTATTATTAATATCTGTTTAAATATCCATATCTAAATTTATTGTTACTATCTTTTCCTACAAAACCTCAATGCTTAATGATACTTATAATTTCTCTGAATGTTTTTTTTTATATTTATTTTATTGCTAGGTACTAGAAAAGTGTACAGGCAACTTTGTAAAAGAAAACGATTGTACAGTTTGATATTTGACGAGGCCTCAAGAATTATTTGGTGTTTCTGAAGACACTGAAAGATACACTATCGGAATTGCTATGCCCTTAATATTTAGCTCAACATCCTCCTTGACATCGGCGAGTCCAAGGAAACGCCAATTATTATAGCAAAATTAATTCCCATGCTTTGGGTTTCACATTAAGTAAAATTCAATGATTTAAAAAATTGGAAATTAATTTTCAATGAAAACAATCGATTATAATCGTTCGGAAACTTTAAAAATAAACATGATTGAAAGTGACGGAAGTTCATTCAAGGGAACATAGATATATCACAGTTGGTCGATTTTAAAGGCTATATCTGCAATGACAGTTGACATAGATACCATCTATTCCTGTTTACTACGTGATCCCGTGTGTGTGTGTGTGTGTGTGTGTGTGTGTGTGTGTGTGTGTGTGTGTGTGTGTGTGAGTGAGTTAGTCGCTACGTTGAAGGACAAACACACCTCCAGTCATTGTAAATCCTAATACAACGCCATAAACTCACTATTCACACTTGGCCTTCATCCATTCATTAATAAAGCTTTCCTCAGAAAGTCGCAGTTGTTTCCTGGTCCAATGTGTCTCCATTGATGACTTGCGTTGATTAATGGATGTGTTCCACATAATAGACATGCTTAAGGAAGCCGTGACTGTTGAGGTGCTTTGTATCTACTGTAATCCTTCCTGATACGATTGTACGATAGTGATGAGTGTGGTTGTGTTCTGCTGGTACATAAAGATACTAAAATAATGGGCTTAAAGAAAACAATTAAAATACTGTTAAGGGCATCATCTCAACTTAAAGGAGAAAATCTTTCTGTTTTGTAAATATACTACATCAGGAATCCGAATTGTACTTTATCCCATTAGCTGGTCAACAGCCCCTATAATGTGTAAGTGGTGTACCCATATAAACTACGTAGGCATGAAATAACTATGATATTCCATGGGTAAAATCAAAATATTGTAATGAGTTTTGAACCGTCGTTTTACAATGGGGTTTGTACAATATAGTTTGAGATAAGGGCTACAACATACTCAATTTTAAAATTACCAAATTCGTTCAAGCAGTTTTTGTTCCATTATTTTATGGGGTTTTCATAGGAAAATAGCCATTGAAAACCCAAAACGAAAACCCCCTAGTGATAAGATGGAGTATAGTAGCCTAGATAAATAAATATTGTTTATATGGATATGTTGTTGTTTGTATGGATCCAATAATCAATGAACTTAATTTATTATAAATTATACATTGGTAGTTTTATTTACCTCAAATCTGTTGTAAACAAACATAGTTTTCAAAAGATAAATTGTAGTATTACTATATTTTTTTGACCCTAATAATATATGCGGTTCACTTGCGGGCCCCTCGTACTATTTAATTTACCTACTTAACCAACGCATAACTGTTTATTCAATGTAGACCATTAACTTGTTGCTACTAACTACAACAAATTATAAGTAATCTAACCAAACTACCTAGTAATTCTAAATCGATAAAATAAAATATTCAATTACCTTCGATATACACCTTCATTAACCATCGGGAACGCTCAATATTACATGTTTAGTAGACATTTACGACGAGACGCTAAAAAATTACAGTTGCAGTCAAGGCAAGGGTCAAAGTCAACTTGTAACAATGACTCTTACATTACATCAGCTGTTGTGATAATCAGCTGTTATGTGATCTTTCTCTGCATTACATTACATTACATCGTTGTATGTAAATATATCTTCCTACAACACAACACAACTACTGGCAAGTAATTTTATAATGCTAACCAGCTAGTTATGTACTTGGTAATAAGGAGTAATTGTGATGTATTGAATGATTATAGAGGTATACTGTACACAATCCTGTTGTTTGTTATTCACAACTATTATGTACTCACACCACGCTTTTTCCTCACTTTTTAAATTCTTCAACGTGGTTTGTGAGGAAATTTCGTATTCCTTAAACGGGGTTTTTAGTGGAATCGTGGGGTATATGTATTTTTGTTTGTAGGGAGGGGGGGGGTTATTTTTTTAAAGTGTTGTTTGTGGTGCAATGTGGTAAATGTGGTTTCTTGTGAAATCTGGAGTATAGCGAAATTCCAATGGTGAAATGCCTTGTGTTGTATATTATATGTGGTGTTGAGAAATCTTGAGTTTAGAAAAGTTGTTCATGGTGAAATGCGGTGTATATAATATGGTTTTCCTAAGGAATCTCGAGTAGAGAACAGTTATTTGTGGTTAAAATTAGTGAATACGAAATTTGGTTTCTTTGGTAATCTTGAGGTTAGCAAAATCGTTTGTGGTAAAAATTGATGAATATGAAATGTGTTTTGTTTAGAAATATTGAGATAATCAAAGTTTTTTGTGATGAAATGATGGTCTTGATTAAATATAGTGTATGCAAAATGTATTTTCAGAAAATGCTTTATATGTTGAATTCGGTTTGAGTTGAAATTTTGTCTATGTAATACGAGTGAAAAAATGCAGTTATATATGTGGGACTTATTTATTATCAGTTTTGATATGCTATCATAGCAAGTGGCGAAGTGTGTCAACTAAATTACATATTATTTCAAAATCTAAAATCAGTTTGGTTTGGGCTACAAGGCTATATGATAATAAACTTCCACTTTCGGGTAATTTCTGATTACAAAATGATTTACACTTCGACACGTAAACGGTACAACTTTTAAAACAAACTGTTTAACAACTGTTAACAAATTAGTGTAAATTGTATGAATGCAGATTAAAAATCTGAAGACAAGTTCGTTTTAATTGGGACATTTTAATCAAATACCTTCATACCTAGATAGGTTAATAGGTAGAAATAGTTTTAGGTCCATAGTTTGCGGTTCCGATACACAATACAAATTAAAATCCTTACTGGCATGCATAGAGGTTTCAGTCTTTCTAAAAAATGCTTATAAATCTAGTTATCTATATTTAGCAACCACTGTCTTTAGCTATACAAAAACGTCACGAAACTATGTTAAACATTCGCTTCGTACGACAAATTATTTAGCCTAACACGAAAAACATGTGCAAGATTGCAATGTACCTTTCCTCAAAAGTGCAATGCACTTTTTACATTTATCATTCCGTTCTACCACACAATTTATCATACAATTCCCATGTACACTTCCCCCTCCTCTCTCTATACATAGAGGACCCACTGACGTCATAGCAGGTCCAGATGTTCGAAGGACAAAGTGTCACATATAAGCAGCTTCCCACTGGAGTGCGTCAGTAGTTACAAACTAACAACTCCTCTCAACATGTACGCTTTGGTAAGTACTTATTGATATAATAAAAATAACTATGTAATAAATTATGTGGACTGGTAATTTGTTATTGTTTCTTTAGTGGTGTCTAAAACTTATCTTTTATTTATTATGAGACTCATTTAGATCAAATATAAATTATGGATCTTCAACAAGGTTACAAGAAAGATTTTTGTATTGGGGTACTGATCAAATATATTGTGGACTGTATGACAAAACGTTCTTTAGGGGGAAAGTTTTCTGTGTGGAATAATTAGCTAAGACTAGGAGGACATTATCTTTGTACATTCTTCAATATTGAATTGAATTGAATTGAATTAGAATTGAATTGATATAGTTGCATACGCCGCCTTATATATAGTGTGATAATATGTTTAACTGCTTCAAACATTCTCTTTCAAGTGTACTGTATGTACCAACATTTCCTTCGTGTTGAAATTTTTATTTTATTATAAAACGTGCATTACTTTCTGAACAACCCTTGTGTGTTTAAAACATTCTCCAGTATAATCCATAGTTAATTATTCCTTCTCAATCTAATCAAAACTCTGCTAATTCATTGGGCGTAAGATAACTGTGAATGAACGCCCAACAACTCTTTCCCAACTAGCCCTCGCAAAACCCATATGATTTTCCGGTTTCTACAATACTGCAACGAGTTTTCCTTAAATTGTGTGCTAAATAAATTAAATAGTGTTGGAATAATGTGAAGATTCTACAAATACTGTGTTTTACCGAACACAATATATGCTTGCTATCAAGACTTGTTTAACATTTAAAAAATGTCAACACAATGATTTTTTAAATATTAATTGCTTGTTTTCAATTGTGATCATCTAATGTAAATAAGCAGCTGTTTAGTAAGTGATTCAATCCTTTCGTCTATTACGATAGTGTTACAGTACGTTATACCATCAATACGTTGAACGATCGACAACAATAGGCCTTACCTAATAAATCAATCGATGAATAATTTCGATCGATAGATTACCACAATCGAAATTTACAACTGTTTACAACACCTGATTTTTACTCTCTAGAGACTAAAAAAGATTGTTACTCCCTGGAGAGTAAAGATACTACTTTAGACCCGCAACACATGCATTAAAAACTGCTGTTTTTGCTGCAGTATATCAGGTATTAAACTATAAATTTTAAATATCCATCATTTGTAAACGCAATACAACTGTTTTTTCTTTTACTCCAAGCTGTTTAATGTAGTTCCTAAAAACGACAATAACTACTCTCCATATATTATTGCAATAGTTAATTTGAATCAAAACTATTTTGTATCTATAATAAATATACTCACAGATATCTACCAAATTTACGTGTCTCAAACAGATCATCGAAACTGATTTGTAATAAATAAGTAATTTTTGTATCAAAACCTTAATTTGATATTTGTAAGATACATTGCATTGGCCTTCTTGTAACAGCAGTTTGTGTATTTTAGTTTTTTTTACACCAAACAAGTTTATCATAGTAAAATATCTTATATGATTCCATTCTAGCATTTAAATGTAACACAAATAAAAGAATATTGATGTTGAATCATGATCGAACTCACAAAACACTATAATTTACCACAACAAGGACCTTAATGAGGTTTTGCGGATTTGTTGTAACATACTCAACACTTGATAAAATTGAGAGCTTTTAATAAGTCACCCAACGTGTAAATACTATTTTCCCGAACTATATAATATGATATATTCTAGTAAATACAATAAAATTGTGAGATAATACAACAGTTTAAGAACAATAATTTAGAACAATAAAACATTTCGATTAATGGTTATGTTAAATGAGAATGCGTTGCTTCGGTCCCCAGGGTTCTGGGTTAGAATCCCACCAATTACCAATCGATCTATTTTACCTACGTGGTAGTGACCCAACCCTCTATGCCTAGCCTAAAATAATGTGTAAAACGGTTTCCGGCACCTAGGAGCCTAGCATCCTAGGAGGTAAAGGTGGGACATAAAGATATAATGTTTTTTTTACCGAAACCTATTGGCAATTTTTCTAGCTTAGAGAAAGAACTGTTACTTAGCACTTATAATTCCCTTAAATACTTTTCTTACATGGGTTTCAACCCCATCATCACAAGATAAATAATTCTTAACCAATGTTTTCAACTAACATTTCCTGTCTCTACAGGTGTTGTTCTCTATGTTGGTGGCTGTCGCCGTCGCCGCACCCGGCTACGTAGCCCCAGTGGTCCCTGTGGCACACAGCTCCGTCTCCGTAGTCAAGACTTCCGTGGTCCACCCTGCACCTCTAGTACACGCCCCTGTGGTGCCTGTGGTCAAGGCTGCCCCCGTGGTGCCCGTGGTACACCATGCCCCTGTGGTTCATCATGCCCGTCTAGTACACGCCCCTGTGGTCCCCGTCGTCAGGACTGTTCCTGTAGTTCACCACGCCCCCGTAGTCCACCACGCCCCAGTCGTCCATGCCGCCCCCGTTCTAGTCCACTAACCTGATCACAGTCAATAAAGTTTTTATTTTTTTAATATTTTGTTTATATCTCTCTAGTATTCCCTATAGCAAACAGTATTGATGTTAAAATTTGAACTCTCATTGTTGAGATTAAGATACACACCGAAAGTGATGTATCGGGCCAGGGCTCGAAGAAAGTTTTGATTTGTCAGTGAGACCACTGATAGACAATTCCTTAATCCACCGCACTTAGCTTTTCGAAGGTGTTTTATTGTGCTTTACATGTATAGAGAGGAAGATTATGGTGGATAAGACTAGATTTTTACATCAATGACACATTAACTTGCAATGCGATGTCAGGTTTGTTACCAACTATGATTAGCACGTTCTTAAGCCAGGATATTTTTTGCTTACAACAACTTTGTTTTACAGTTGGGCTATATACTTCTCTTTTACCTTTTAACACCTGTTAATTAAATGGAAAGTTTTTATCTGGTTAAAGAGCTCCAAGGTGTGTTTACAAAAGATTTAGGAACGATTAAATGTTAGCACAACAGTTTACTGATTGACAACGCCAACCAAACATAACTCTTAGCAAAATCAATTACCATGCAATAGTACTTCAGTAAAAGATATGCTAACAGAATAGAATTTCGTAATACAGTATCCAAAAAAATCTTACACTTTAAGTGTTTAAATTTGTCATAAATCAATCTGGAACAACGCTCCAATTAGAATAATGGAAGCTTTCTTGAATCTGCAGTAAAAGGAGGAAGTTTAACAGTGAGAAGCAATCTAGGTTATGGGCTTAATTGGGCGGAGCTCAATCACCGGAGTGCGGTTCTCCTCAAGGGGGTGGAATTATTACTGTCTTGTCCACACATTTTTAATAATGGTGCTGGGATGCATTTCATCTTTCAAACAAGGGAATGTTTAAATTTTTTAGTTTTGCAATCGTATGTTAAATGGTCAAGTGAGTGATTACAGTAGAAGTCAAATGTATTATCCAATTGTAATAAACTTTTGTATTGGAGGTGATAAATTATATAATCGTAAAAGTTTGAACTATTATTGGATAGAATGTTATGGTAATTTTTTGCTTATTTTCGTAATTAATTCGTTTAAACTTTAATGATAGTAGTAAAGAGTTTTAGTACAAGCAAACTTGGGGGAGAATGGTTTATACTTATCTGTATACACAAACACATGAACATGAACAAATATTTTATAATCTACTACATAAAACGATCGTATTGATTTTCAAAATCTGTCACTTTTTATGGTTGGTTGTTTCTGAAACTGTGTTTTATGGGTTGGGCTATTACTAAGTTATGGTGTAGATAAAATCTAATTAAATTTTTGTGAAAAACTATAGTTGGTAATATTGGCGAAGACTATGTTGTAGACATTGATTCAAATCAATTTACTTGGGATAGAAAATTTCCGCATTCATCCCTGAAACATAAAACAAGTGGAATATAAACATGACGAATAAATAATCCTTATATTACGAAAACGGGAGCGTGCGTGCCTAATAATATCAAAGAGAACGTCGGCGATGTTTATCTTGATAGATTTATGTTTCATAACTACAATGTTGGACGAAAAGCATGACTACTTACTTTTCTACGCTCAAATAACCAAGGCTAGCGTATATAAAACCGTGGTCGAAATACTTTCAGTAGTATTTTTAAAGTGATTAGGAACAAAAAAATTTATGAGAAATATAAACTCGCTGGTGTAAAAGAAAGATTTGTAATATGAAAAAAAACGTTGGGTATGGTTTTAAAAGAAGGAATTTTTACATTACATATACATACTAGGAAATATACTTAACGCGTTGCAGTCAGTTCGTTTCATTTTTTTATTAGGTGACAGTTTAAATCATTACGTGTTAACATTTAAAAATCATTTAGTAACCAGTCTAAAATAGCTTTGCCTTAAAACATATTTTATATATTGATCGTTTCGTAAATGTTTACAGTATAAAGTGTAGATATCCATAGAAATATTCTAAGACGTGGTCTATTATATACCTTTCCAGAGAGATGAGGTAAAAACTCTTTAAGAATTGGGGGAGCGCACTGGTCAATCCCGCCCAGCGACCACAGAATTAAAATTAAAATAATTAAATTAAATTTAAATTCTGTGGTCGCTGATCCTGCCTTCAATGGATTTTATCTATTTGATAATGCCACAACCCTCTATGAGCTGGAACTAATGTGTAGAAAAAGTTCAGGCTAAAAAACATAATGAACAATTTTGATCAGACTACCTACTAAAAACCCGTATTCTGTTGTACACACTTGGGATTGTTTGTTACATTAAAATAAATTCTATTAGGCCTATATACTATATACTTCAATATTATAAGGTGTTCAAGGTGGATTTGTTAGTGAAGTGGAAAGAGTCATGCGATTAATTTACAGAATATTTTCCACAAACTCTTCTCTAATTATCTATCAATCAAAACATTTAATCCAGAGCATTCCAGCCCTTTACTTTCCATTTGTTTACAGCACGCTTGATACAGTGACCTTGTATTGGTCACGGTGGTCCTTGAAATACAGTGTCCGCTGCTTCAAGAATTTCCTGGCTCATTATACATTATACATTTTGCTGTTTAAATATTATGATATTTTATCATCGAAGGTTTAGTTGGGTTTAATGAATCATCAACCAATAAGAAAGTCGCTACTGTACGTAAAAATGCGAGAAATGAGTCTCTAAAGTTCAACTACAAACTGTTGTATTGTCTGTTACGTTATACAAATAAAGAATAATAGTAGTCATAAAAATTAAACACAATAAAAATTTAAAATTTGGGTAGTCGAGTGGTTTAAGCACGCACTTCAAATCTGAACGTTTTTAGTTCGATTCCAAGCTATATCTGTCCTGGATCCTTGTCATTTGCCATAGGGCTACAAACACAATTATTGCATTACATATTAATATGTCTAAGAGTTTGGACCGTTCCCATTAATTGAATATTTAATTTTAATTGAATTTAACCTTTAAACGTAAAAATGCCAATGGCACAAATAAACAAAAATTACAATGTAAATTTTATTATTTATCCCTAGAATATTATGGTCAATTTTAAAACACCGTTACAGTTTTCCCACCAAAATGAGCAGCGAGATCAGCTGTTCGCAGTTATAAATCACAGCTTGCCTCAACAGGTCTGCCAACCCCCGCCCTCCCACTGCGGCTCGCCCCTAGCTGTCATTTATCATAAGACATGTTCTCTGAAAAACTTCTCAAAATGAAATTTCGTTTTTGATAAAGAAAAGTATAGTTTTAATGTTTGAGAGAATCAGAATAATCTTGGAAAAATCAAAAAATTAGAATGTTACATATAAATTTTAAATAAAAACTTCACCAATATTTCTTGATTTTTAATTTCATGAGGCCTTTCGCCAGCTATGCTGGCATCATCAGACTGAGCATAGCTGGCGAAGGCCTCATGAAAATAAAAATTCAGAAATATTGGTGAAGTTTTTATTTAATACTAAACATGACGAAGAGTAACTTATAAGTAACTTAATTAGTTTGGTTTAAAGTACGATTTTAATTCTAAAGGTTTTAAAAGTATGTATGTTCTACAAGCTAATATAATTAACGTTATACATTTGATCAGAAACACACATGAATGTATAGGTGTGATAAACATAAATAGCTATTTAAATCGTATTTTAAAAGTAACTAAAAATAAATCCAAGGCGTTGACGCTTTGTCACTCAGTGGCAGTTAATTTTTCTTGTCAACTGAATTAAATCTTCCATTTAATTACAGTAATGGCCAACCATTGAGACGATTCATTCACATTGCTATTACTGTTATTATATTTTCAACCGTTACTTATATTGTACTATTATTTTTGTAAACGTTACTTTTGTTTATACTACAATTTTCCCAACCGTTACTTTTGTTTGTACTATTCTTTTTCCTACATGTCACCTTTACCGCTTCTACAACTGCTTATACGGTGGTAGTTTTTTTTCTTTACTGAAGGAATAATTTAACCTCTTATTTATAACATCCTTTAACCGTTCCCCTTCTACTTGAACTACTTGTTAATATATTATTGTTCATTTCCCTGAAAAAAATATAGTAGCTATAAATTCACAAACTCTTAACATTTTGCTAAATAAAATATTTTTAACTGCTAGACTACGATGAAGAAATTGTTCGCTATGTGTTCTCGCGCGTAAATAGTTTGGGCATTACATTAGGATTTATTTTAACAAGTATAAGTCTCGTTTAAGCTAACTCTAGCAGCAAATTATTTATGTTATTATTTATTTAATATTTTTTCTATTGTTATCGTACTGAGTATTTATTATTTATTTTGTTTGAAATGTAAAAAAGTAACATAAAGCATCAAATTACATTTTTTCACACTTGTGAAAAATTTGTCAGCATTATGCAACTAAGACAAGTGCTTTTTAACAGTATCTAAACTAGTTGTAGAAAATAACAAGGGTGAATCTAAAAACGTTAGAAAGAATTCTCTCATGAAACTCAACATAAATTGAGAAGTAAGAATATAAAAATCTCCTTTTATAAAAAATTTCGAGTTCAGTTATCAGACTAATTCTTACTAATAGCTATTTCAAATTGACATCCCAACGATCAGACCAATGACATCACATTTTCTGTACTCTTTTAAGTTATTGCAGGTATACAAAAACTGTTCAGGATAGAATTGATGGGTTGACTATTGCAGAAGAAAAATACAGGTGTCGAGGGTAGATCTAGGAACATTACCTGAAAACAACAGCTCCCTAGGGAGAACAGTAACAAAACATGGCCAGGGAGAAGCGTTCATCTACACTCGGACCTAACTTTTCTTTCTCAATACAAATACAGTGCGTGCAATAGTAAAACCCTTGAATTGCCTTCATTTAAGTCAAACATATTTTAAACTGCTTCGCTTCACAATGTGATAATAAAAATTCCAACATTTTTATTATTTCGAACATTTTTATGTGTTTTAAAGATAACACGCCAAATCAATGTTTATATTGAAAAAAGTAATAATTTATAAATAAAACAACGTAAAATATGCAGG